CAGCCAAAGGACTAGATATGGATTATTTAATAAAGAACCATCAAGGGAATAACATAATACTGTACTGTACAGTGAAGGAGAAGCAATGCTCAAACACTACTGTGAACTTTGGATCACTCGGGTGACAACGGTCAGCCACTTTACCACTGACCTGACCAGAGTTTGGTTATATATCACTCACTTTTTTATTTATCTTATAGGATTATTACTGTGTTGCTATTGTTGTACCAGAATAGAAATAAGTAGCTGGAGGGAGAGCAAACTGACTTCTATTTTAATGCATGTTAAGGGGTATCTGGGGGTCTAATCCCCACCCCCCCCACACACACTTGTTCAGCATCATGGGAAAGTCAACAACTCAGAAGCGATGGTGATAAAAAAAAAAAGTAAAAAATGGATTCTTTAAAGACATCATGTTCAATCAGCCACTGTGCCTGGTACAGTACAGGGGCTGAGAGGACAGTTATTATCTATGCTGTATCTGCATAACTTCATCTTGGAGTAAATTGTTTGTCTATTCAGTAAAACCTCCATCTAATGGATAATATGGGGGAAAGTTCATAATATCGAGGGTCCATTAGATGTGAAACCCCCATCTAACGAACGAGAGAGAGAGAGAGAGAGAGAGAGAGAGAGAGAGAGAGAGAGAGAGAGAGAGAGAGAGAGCGAGAGCGAGAGAGAGAGAGCGAGTGAGTGAGTGAGTGTGTGTGTGTGTGTGTGTGTGTGTTATATGGAGGTTTCACTGTTTGTATTCCCCCAAAGTTTCATCACTCCAGCCCCAAACTTTCATACTCAGTGTAAGACTCACCACCAAGGCTGTACAGTAGTTAAAATTTATGAGGCAATTCACTTTACACAGTATCCCCCATAATGCATCATTCACTTGGTGGTCTGTTAGTTCCAGATTAATGTAAAGGGAGGGAGGAGGCCCTCAACAGCTATTGTTTTAGCTAATAAAAGCTTATGTAGTAAACTAACAGATTATATGGAAAAGTGTCTTCTGTTCAAGGGCTGTTAGATGTGAAGACCCCCTTTAACAAACTATATAGAGGTGAAAATCCATTACATCGAGTCTTTACAAGTGAAACACTTCATCTCACCGATTATAGGGAGAATTTATTTCCTCTTCCTGCAACAGATTTAACACGACGTGGGTTGTGTGGTGTGTTATTTCCTCGTAACTGTTTTATGAACACACATTTCTATCAAATGTGTACAGTAAACTCTCTTCATACATGACTTCACAGTAAGGGATATTCCCAATAAGGGGCATGTTTGTGTACTGTACAATATAATTAATGGACTCGGCCAGTAAGATCAGGTAAAGCAAACACTGTCTCCTGTTGACCACCAGGTGTACAGTACTGCCCTACAATGTCTTAAAACAAACACAAAGGTAATGGTACTGACTGACTGACAAACAAGAAAATAAAGTGCTTAGTATCAAGAAAATATCTGAAATTCCCCTACTCCGTGACGGACCATTAGGGACTCCCGATACACGAGTGTATCATAAGTCGTACAGGTGTAAATCTTGATAGTCGGGAATGGCATGTGTATTTTTTAATGTATTATTTTATGTACACACGAGGGAAAATAAGGAAATCCTCCCAATAAGGGACAGGGCTAGCACCAATTAGTCTGGTACAGTTATTAGGAGGGTTTACTGTATTAATACCTGAAATCATCATATTATCTTTACCTAATATATTATCTCGGTTTATGTTAAAGCTTAACCAAGTTGAGTTTGCTCAGTTCACCTCGTATTGTCAAATATTTTCTGTTGTCTTGTCACCAAAGATTCATTGGACTCTTGTGCATTATGCAGAAGACCCGACAGCAGCACCCTTATCCACTACCTCCTAAGATGTCCCCACACACAACGCTTCCGTGATGCCTGCTGGACCACCACTCCACGACCCCCTGACGGAGACAAGATGATCCTCCCCATACTGGCCAGATATTTTGTAAAAAAAAACATTGATTTATGTGTTAAAGGAATATCCTTCCTTCCTTAGGCTTCAGTAAGCCCCTTTATAATATTTTTGCTGTATATACTTGTCACACTTGCCAGATGCTTCTGGTGTCATTGTACAGGGGTACCTAGTGACAGCACTAGAATCCTGCTTCCTCTATCAAGGAATAAACAATTGAAATTGAATTGATTCATTGGTGGACGGGAGTCATTTGAAATCACGCAATGGGCCACAGTCTGCGGACTTATAACATAACTTGAATGTATAAATTATCTACATCATTCTCTTATATATCACAGTGGCTTCATCACCAGACATCATCTACACCGATCACGACCACCGTTCCCAAAGTTTAGACCAACAGTCTCCTAACGCTTTATGATCAGTACAAATAAACTTGGCAAGTACAGTACTTCAATTTTTCTCAAATGTTCATTACCCAAGCTCTCCCAGTGTGGTACTGTACATAGCCCACAACTACACTACAATCACCGGCTGTGTTTAGTAGAAATAACTAATACTTATGGGTGTCGTCAACTGACCCCGATAATACCCATTGGATATGAAGTAATACTAATTTTAAAAACACTTTGCTTACTGTACAGGCAGTCCCTCCCTGACTTACAAATGGGTTACCTTCCTGAACCCTGTTGACAAGTCGGAACAGTGTTAATTCCCTAGGTTATGTCGAGTTAAGCACAACCCTGCCCATACCAAAAAATCACCATCCCACACAGTACAAATAACGTAATATCTGTAAATATTAATATCAAGCATTATAAAATAATGTTTAAAAAAAGGGGGGGGGGTGTTAATCAAGAAATTTTTGTGATAAATGTATTGGGATTCTGGTCATAAGTGCAGGTGATTGTAAGTCAGGGTTTGCCTATACTGTACAGTATTATTTACTCTGGTACTATCAGTTAAAATATAATTTGCCCTAAGTATTGAAACAAACTTGTTCTTGTTTTAAAAATTAGTCTTAATTTAACCATATAACTTCAACAGCCAAGGACTACGATCCACCCTTGGTACAAAAAAATCATTCAATGTTTAACGACATCATGGGAGTTGTTTCCTGTGACGGCCGGTCCTTTAATACTCCACTTTATGTCATGTAAAATATAACTCCTGCAATGCTAAGAGAATTTATAACAATAATTCCACAAAGTTTTCAGTGTTGCAGCAGCTGTTTCATTCCTCACTTAAGAGTTTACTAGCCACTGCCAACATATATTTAAAGATGCACCAAATGACTGAGTAAAACTGTTTCTAGAAACAGGACCTATATCTTATGCTTAAACCTGTATCAAGTTTTCATTACGGGACCCAACAAAAACAGCCACACATTATACTTCAAGTCAATCCCCAGTACAGTACAGCTCCTCATCCTTGAGACCAAGGTACACAACCCTGAGTAAGGTATGACCTTTGTCCCTTGATTAAGATATACAGCCCCTGGCCCTTAAGTTAGGTATGGCCTCTGTCCCTTGATTAAGATATACAGCCCCTGGCCCTTAAGTTAGGTATGGCCTCTGTCCCTTGATTAAGATATACAGCCCCTGGCCCTTGAGAGACAAGTGTACAACTCAACCACCCAGCAGATGAACCACCAATATGAAGGTATACCATAATACCCTCAACACTAAACTTCTTAACTAAAAACCTCTTCACTTTAGTAAATTTAAACATTTTCATGACCATTGAGCACTGGATATACTGTACTGTACTGAGTAGACTGAAACACTGTATAATGTATCATGATACTGAAAGTGTATACTGTACCATGATACTGAAACGCTGTATATTTGTACCGTGATACTGAAACAAGTGTATATTTGTACCATGATACTCGGTGTATAATTGTGCCATAATACTGAAACACTGTATAATTGTACCATGATCGACTGTGAACACTGGGTATACCGTGCCCAGCTTCACCAAATAAAACTTTAGGAAAATAAATATCCATCTTATATTTCTTAAAGTTTGCATTCGCAAAGTTTGCTGCAATTTTATCATCATTGATATTGTGAGTAATAATAATTTCCTCTTATGCCTTAATACAGTACCCCCAAACTATCAGGACATTTAAAACTTAAGCCACGAAAAACATGGTTAGAAAATAAAGGAAGAGTCGGGTGGGAACACACCTACTGTAGGGGCTCCCACCACTCACCATCTGGTTTAAAACTGTAACAAACTTGCTCACTGCAGTAAACCATGGAGACACATTCGTGGTATAATTGAAAACAACATTTTGTGGATATATTTTTGTATTTTACCGTTCAAATTTCTGAAAATTACTCCATAAGTTAAGATCCGTCTCGTGTAGCAGAACTTAAGACTGCCCGACTCAGCTTCACCACTGTTAGTAAGTTAGGTTTAATGTATGTTTAATACAATATTAAATTAAAGTAAGACTAAAGATTATTTTTTTTTTTACAAAACTTCCCAAAGATAAAGTGAAGAGCAGTGAGGAAACTGATGTTGTGGTGTACATGAATCATATTAACTCAATAACTAGTTCATTTTATATTATGCATATTAAACTTACTTAACTTCTAGCAAACGTTTAAGATAAAATATATTTTCCAACAATAATTTCTGAACAAGTTGAGTCATCATTTCTCATTAATATTACAAATTCCTTATTTTCAAGAACATGCAAGTACAGTACACTACTGTAAATGTTCGGCCGAGGAAAAATATAAAATAAATAAATAAACCAACACCATCCAACCCCCCATTTTTCTGGAAAGATTCTTAAAACTTTTCTATCATTCAAATTTAATCTGGTCTTCCCTGCTGCCAATTTACCATTTAACTGAAACCATAAATGATGGAGTCATTACACTGGCATTTTCTCAACAGGTAATCATGTGCGTCACACTGCGAGCGGTCTGACGTAGCAACACAAGTATAGTAAAAACAAAAAATTGATTTACAAGATATTACTTGCAGTTGAGAAGTTGTACGTTGCATTATGACCCACAAAAGGTAGAAGCTAATTATACATGTAGCAATTATAAGGTTACATTTATTAAGATAAGACAAAGAAAATATTCATACAAGTTATGAAGAGACTAACTCAATCTTTGTACAACTGACAATAAAAAAAAATAATTCTTCATCATTAGTGTATAAAATAAATTTTAGTTTTACCAAAATATGTAGTACCATGTGACATAAAACACTTGCACATAATGACTTACAAACTACAGTACAGTATACTACTGGGTTATGGTATAATGAACCCAATATGGAATACTTCTCACAGTAATGAAAAACTACTCCCTAGTGTTGCTACCCTGAAAAACTTGTAATATTTTAACAGGTTCATCAAAACTAGTCTCATCAGATACAAGATATGCAGTGACTTCACCTAAAGTCTTCCTGCTGAACATTTCCTGCAGAGCCGGAGCTCTTGCACGACTCGCACTAAAACAATGGAGGGTATCCAAAAAACTTTCTTAAAAGAACATTTAATATATTTGGTGCATGTTCAAGAAATGCAAGATCAGGATTTTTTACTGCCCCATCCCCATAAAGCCAAACCAATCATTTATACAGAAATTAATGAATGCAGTGAATGGTTGATGGCATCTTTGTGGAGTAAAGGCTAACATGTTAATATGAGCTCAGAGACCAGCCCTATCATCCACGTCTAGTAGCGAGCCCTCTTGGCCGGGCCGTAGTCATCGTGGTCATTGCGTCCCCAGCGGCTGCGGCCAGCGTCGCGGCCTCTTTGGCCAGCGTAGTCAATTCCTTCCTGCTCAAAGTTACGCCCGCGGTTGAAGTTTTCCAGGAACGTGTTGGGGTCCTATGTGAGTGGGTTTAAAAAGATGCATCGAAATGAAGTTTTAAAGTGAATATTGAATACGAATATTATTCTTTTTTGTTTGTTTTTTTAATATATTACTTTAATGCCATGAAGGCAGGCATTTGATCCCCCCAGTGTTGAGAGACGCATACAAGCTATGTTATGTACAGTACAGTATAAGGTTTGAAGGAAAAGGAGTAAATTAATCCTTAATTTACCCTGCAGTAGTTCAAAACCCCCTCACCTCTAACACTTTAGTTCACTTCAAGAAGGCAATATTATGCTGGGATAAACCACCCAAATCACTTACATTAAATCAACATTACTTGATAAAATTATTTTTAACAGTTGAAACCAGAAAACTTTAAAAGATTAAATTGAAGATTCACCTTCACTTGTCCATTACCACACAGTAATATTGTGCCCATTACAGTACTGTACAGGTACTGTATCTGACACATGTTCAGGTGTTGTTGACCCATAGCAGCGCACGAGAACTTAATTCTCATCCAAGACAACTGATTAACTTTAGGGTATTATTCACTTCCTCTTGTTGACGCACTGTGCTGGAGGCCCACTGAATGGCCTACACTTTACCCACAACAAACAGACGTACTACTGTACTGTACGCACCACAATTTTATTTCCTCATATACGTAACTCTTCCAATTTATGGTATTCTACTTACTCTTGAAATTTACTTCAGTGTAATAATTACTATTCAGGAAAATACCTCAGGTTACACACACGGGTGAACGACTAAGATAAAACGTTCATCACATATTAATGGTTTAGTTTTCTCACACTACAAGATAATGGGAAGTGAATGGCATCCACTGTAACTCCATAAGTTTCAACTGTATAAAATAAAATTTTCCAAAATAATCGTTACACACTTGCCATTAAAATTTACCCAAAATTGTGTAAACATGACAGCGTGATAAAGCCGATGTTTATCTGTAGTAAAAGTCTTATGGTTTATGCTAAATATAACAACCTTAATAAGGGAATAAACACAAAGTCAGAGAAAAACACCAACCAACACATAAAAGCTCTTACACTCACACACCATTTTGTCCTGTTTATTTGTTTACACTGATCCACATATACACTTGTACTTGCTGAAAAAAATATTTCCATTTGTAATATAAGTTAAAACTTTTAAAAAGTACTTGAGACTCTGAAAAGAAAAACATCTTACTGTATATCCACAAGAAACCTTAAGCAGTTCTGTGAAGACTAAAACATAACGAGAACATGCACTATATAGTCTGCTAATGATGATGTACTTAAAGGAATATATACAGTATATATGGATCAAACAGCCTAATTGTCAGAGAGCAATACTAATGTTGCATAGGGTCAATCTCCAGCTTTTTGTATTCTTAAAATAAAATTTCTTGCTTTAACAAAAAAAAAAACACTGGATGGGTTTGTTTGTTTTTTTCTCTCCATGCCTTTTGTTGTGCCTTGCTCAACGTTAATCACTTGTTGAATGCATTTTTTTTTCACTGCAATAGACTGCCCATTCCAAGAATCAAAACCCACATTGTATGGTAAATTTAATGGCCATATAGATCTTAAGGCAAGAACAAATTATCATCAAACCCACACCCAAAAAAAACAAAGATTATTTTTGTAGGTAATCTGTCCTAATGCTTCGTCTAGTTGCTTTTTGTTTCACCAATTTTTCGTAAGTGTTGTACTATACCAGATTCCCCTTTATTTCTCATTATATGGTTAATCAGGTAATTTTTTTATCAATAACAATATCAAAATTCTCATGGGCATGCAATTGCAAGTGACTTTTAAATTCTTTAGGTACTGTAGGTAGATAGTGACTGCAATCACCAATCATCCTCTCCATCCACAACTTGTAAAGCACAATATATGGCACAATTACACTGGATCATACAATCATTTTACTTAAGTAGTTTTAATGGTCCAATTTTAAAGTTAATACTGTACCCCTAAATTAAATACAGTGCTTCACTAGAGATGAGTTGAGAAGAAATAATCTCTCGGCTGGAATCATTGTACTGTATGGGTCAAATTGATGGATTCCTGCGAGTACAAGTGGGTAGGTACTGTAGAGTGTAACATAAAGCTGAGTGAGAGCCCCAGGTGTGTGTGTGTTAAGAGTGGCCCTCATTAAGAGTAAAAAAAAAAGGTAAAATGTCTTAATAGGAGCAGAATATTCACCTCCTTGGTGGTGTCCTCTGCCTCTTTCTCTTCCCCTCTCCCTGGGTTGCGTATGGAGGAGGAACCACCAGCATGGTTGGTGGTCTGTTGAGGCCACCCCATACGGTGAGAAACAGCATCAGTGTCAGAAAGAAAGGCTGCTTTAGCAACAAAGATGTGAAATTGCATGCACCCTAAAAACAAAACCAATTAGTTTATTTTCCTTGCATCTTGCCTCCTTGCAACTTTCAACCTAGGAGTTTCCACCTACAGGGTATATAAAAAAAAAGTTTCTTCCTCAAGACATTTTAGGTTAACCTTTGTCTTATGGTAACCATTTCCGAGATGATAAATGTCAGGTTTCAGACAACCATCACACTTTTGCCAACTCAAAGTTCCATCCAATTATTTCACTTCCTAAAAAATGGGAGGAAAACTTCAACATTCCTGCTAAAAAGAAAAAAAATTAACACTACAAACTTTTTTTCCAACAAATGCATCTTGGTTATTCACTGAAAAAGACAAATTTAATTACTTTGTCTTTACAAATATGTTACACCTACAAATGTTTTGGTTCAACACAGTACAGTATATAACACTTAGGTATAGTTCAGTCCACACATGACTGGCTGGCTAGAAGAAGGATTCACATTAACAAGAAAGAAAAAAAATCATGTACAGTATAATAAAGTATGATACTTGTTACCCAACTAAACAGCAATGGCTAAATCTTTCTATGGCAACTTTTTTAACTTTCAATCTTGATCCGAGAGAAAATGATGATGAAGGGATACGATGTCTCCAACTTTTGAAAGACAGCAAATGGAGTAAAGCTTGACTGACTGAACTGCTGCCCATACAACAAACATGAACACAGCTCAAAATGAATCATCAAATTGGACAGTGTCACTCAATTGGCATACCGGCATTTGCCTCGTAAAGTAAGTCAGTGAAGCTATTGTCAGTCATGCCTCTCAAACTGTACAGTCTGAATTATTCATTGTTTCCTACTTTTGTGTGTCATGTCTTCTGGCTTAACTGTTTGATTACTGTGTTAATTGGTTGATTACTGTGTTAACCCCTAGGCTTTGGGTCACGTCATATCAAGTTTTCATCTTTCGTGGGCCTATTTGAATAAAAGGGGCAGCTACCAAACAGGGAGGTACTACCACTTGGGAAGATATTGGAAGCATAATGTGTTGTCTAATGGTAGACCCTGCTGCCATATGGCAACACAAAAAGTGTGACCAAGTCCCAGGTTGCTCATCTGACTTTCTGCCTCATTTACACACAATTGCAGGGTGTCAATTGTTTCTCTCACTTTGACAACACAACATACATACTGTATATCATTTCTCACTATTGATAATTTTATTTTTTAGTTTTTGTATTTATTTATGGCTCTTTATTGTTACAGGGGGTATTATTATCATTATTTATATTTTTTATAAATTTTTATTATTATTTATTTTTAAATATTTTTATTAATTTTATTTCAGGTACTATTATTATTATTATCATCATCATAATTATTATTATTATTTTGTTATGTTATAACCCGGGGCCTTGATGAGGGTCCTTAAAAATTACCTGTGCCCGGTGGGCTAGTGCCCGTAAAAAAAAAATTTATATACATATATATATATACAAGTATATTGTTGCCAAGTAGACATTTATCTTTCACTCACTCACACATGAGTCACCCATTCTCTTCTTAGCTTCTGTGATGTAGGAATCTGGCCCTTGGGCTCAACTCGCATCATGTGTTCCTACCCCCAAGCACGTCTAGTATCACCATCAATTATTGGAACAGTAATAATTATTGTTAATAGCTATATACTTTACAGTAAAACAAGTGTCCTGTACCTCATACTGCCTATAAATTGGCGTTGCTTACTTTGCATCACACACACATCATTTCACGAACATTCTCGACTCTTTCTGGCCGTGTTGCCAACCTGAGGTAAGGACACGCATTTATTTCCTGTTTATAACATACATGGCCAGTTTGTAAGACAAAAATTGTTGACTTATTTGTTATTTAAATGTTCCCAAATATACCAGCACGGAGAGGGTGGGGGGATGCCGACCATAGCCTGTAGCCCAGGGGGTTAACAGTTTGACTGTGTTGACTGATTACAGTCTTAACTGGATAATTACTGTCTTAGCCATTTAAGTACTGTGTTAAACAGTTAATTACTGAAAATTCTTACTTATTATTTTACATTAGTTTATAACACACCATTCAAAAAAAATTGAAAGTTTGTCATGTAAACATCATGGGGTGTTACAGGCTGGTCCTTCCACAGGCTGGTGAGAAGGTGTTACAACAACCACTATCACATAACATTTCTTCTAGTGGAAAAAAATAGCACATGATATCCAGCTGTAAAAAGGCCCAACTTATGTGCATTAATTTCCCTGCCCCTTTTTTGTAGTGTTAACGCTTAGGCCCCGGGTGACCTTCCAGAACGTCCATCTATTTTCCCGACTTTTTTATTATAATTATTATTATTATTGGAAAAGTTGCATTTTGTCTCGGTTTATCCCCACGGGGATACTGCCAGCAGCACCCTAACCCGGGGTTTAAGGGTTAAGATTGCCAGCCATTGTGAGTCAGTCAGGTAGAATATATCTTACAGAAACCTTTTTGGTAATTCAGGAAATACTATTTACATTTCATAAATAAGTACTGTACACTCAACAGAAGCTTCTTGAACACCTGGGCACAATGAATGTAAAAATGAGCAGAATGGGTTTTGTCATCTGGGAATGATTTCAAATTCTTTGTTCATTTTTCAGGTTGCATAGAGCTTATTGAGTTCAAGAAGTTTCTGGCGAGTGTACATCAAGGCACACCCTAGCCGTGTTATGGAGAAAAACGGCACATTTCCTTACTTTAACTCGTCTTAGCATCAGCGTAGCTCCGATAAACTACAACCCCAGCAAACTATTTTCTTATCAGTGTACTATATATTACTATTGTCAAACATCACCGAGAAAAACAAAACGTCTCCTCAAATTAATAAAAATAGGCAGGTCATTCTTGCCATTGCTTACATGTGACCAGGACTCATTCTACTGCACTGTGTTGCAGGCCAGTCACAGCTCCTGCACCTAGTTCACCTTTAGGTACAAAACCTCATAATACTGTAATGCACAGTACTGGGTGTAGTGTACAGTACACACCAAGCATATAATACCTTAAGACCTAAGTACAGTATCTCACTTGGGTGATATTTTACCCACAGTCTTAAGTCGGGTTGCAACATGAAGTCATTTCTAGAATTGTTAATAAAAATAACTTCAACTTTTATAAGCCAGAATACTGTATTACCTTACTGAAAACCAATAATAAACAGTACCACAATCTTAAGATTTTGAGAAATAAAAAGTCCAGAACATAATTATTTCCTTAATGGGAAAACTATAAGGAACTAAGGAGGTACAATACAGTAAATATTTCCACTTGGGTGGTAGAGCAGTGAGAGTCAAGCTTCAACTATTACAGGCAATAACAGTACAATACAGTAATACAGGATTTAAACTTTTATTTAGCCATCACTAGAGTAGGTATATCTGCCGGGAGAAAACTTAACACACAAATAGTAAAGTCTTTCACTGGCGGCACCGATGACCCACAACAAGGAACACACACAGGGAAAAATTATATATATATATATATATATATATATATATATATATATATATATATATATATATATGCAGTATATGTATAAGAAAATCGATAAAACTGCAACAAGAATACTGTACATGCAAAATAAAGAGTAGAGTGCAGTACCAGAGGCAAGTCTTTCAAGGTCCTCAAACTAAGTTTTATAAAGCATCAGGGTTCTTGTCTCCAAGCCACATTACATTTGTTTCTGTCAAACATTTAAATGCAGTTCTTCAATGCAATGTTTCCAATTAGGATTCAAGTGCAAATATTTGTACCTGTACTCATAAACCAAAGATAAATTTAATTACAACTGTGCACAGTTACAAAGAAAACAAAAATATTATACAGTACAAACTACTCAAGCAGCAATTTTCTCAACTACTATGATATAACCAACACCAACGTCTCCATAGTATACTTTACAGTACTTTAACTTGCTAACACAAACGGTTTTCCATCACCAATACCGTTAAACAAGTTCCAAGACAAGCAACAATAGTACTGAAGCTTCATGAAGGATCAAAGGTTGAAAATTGTGGTAAATTATCCTTATGGGGTAAAGGAGGTTTGGCCTAACTAACTTTATTATCAATTTTTATCAAATAAAATTTACGCTAAGTCACATTTCATATTAAAACCTCCAACTGCTGCTACAACCCCAAAACCTCCAATATGTATCACAAAACACAGCTAACATCCACTAATAATGGCCACTGTCCCTACAGCTAACATCCACTAATAATGGCTACTGTCCCTACAGCTAACATTCACTGATGATGGCTACTGTCCTTACAGCTAACATCCACTAATGATGGCCACTGTCCTTACAGCTAACATCCACTAATAATGGCTACTGTCCTTACAGCTAACATCCACTGATGATGGCTATTGTCCCTACAGCTAACATCCACTGATGATGGCTACTGTCCCTACAGCTAACGTCCACTAATAATGGCCACCGTCCCTACAGCTAACATCCACTGATGATGGCTACTGTCCCTACAGCTAACATCCACTAATGATGGCCAGTCCCTACAGCTAACTGCCACTGATGATGGCCACTGTGCCTACAGCTAACTTACGCTGATGATGGCTACTGTTTAAGAGTACAGGTAAAAGTAATACATGAACAAATGTGATCAGATAATCCCAGGTTAAGCTTCAATCATCAAGGAACACACTCAATACTGTACTGTACTGTAACTGTATATCTATTTAGCTTTGCTATAAAACTTAAACTCATCACCTGCCAGTACAGTACAGTAATACTTCTCACATTGCACCTTGTAATTGCTTCTCACATTATAAGCAAAGTTAAAACAATTTTATGGCTTTTCCAAACACCATAATTCCTTTCACCACTTTCCTCGTCCCCAAAATATACTCAAGATAACAGAGGCAAACGACTACCGGTAGTAAAATCATA